AGGCTCCGCACTTCGTGGCGCCTGTAATTCAAGATAATCAAGCCGGATGGGGACCCTGTGAAGTGCCAGATCAGTTTAAGGATATGCCTTATCAACCCTTCAGTAAAGGTGACCGGCTAGGAAAAATTAGTGATTGGACTGGAGCTGCTTTTCAAGATAAAAAATATGCTAGTAAGTCTTTTTTATATTATAGTAATGCAACATCATTAATGGTGCATATGTTAGAACATAACCTCAATAAAAATGGGTGTATATACGCAACTTACCGCCGGTAAAATAAATGAAGATTCTTTATTCTTGAAAATGATTGTTTATTGTGTTAAGTGTGGTTTGTGTTTTTACAGATAAATATGCTTCCCAATTTGGCTCAGGTAGCCAGTATGCATATTACCATGATGAAGATGAAAGCACTTTCCATTTGGTTGACACTACCAGAGTTCAGAAACCCCCATACCAGCGAGGTAGATTCCGTGCTAATCAACGTAATTTGCGTGGAAGGGGTGGTAGAGCTAATGTCCAAAGCGGTGGCATGCAAGCTCTTGGTAAGGGTGTTAAGACAAGGGACACATACAAGAGGAGTCAAGTTAAGAGATGGGGGCAAGGTCGTGTAAGTATAATGTTCATATTTTATTTCGATTTAAGGAATTTTACAAGGCTTTTAAAACCTTTCTGATATGGCATATTTCTTAGCTTTCCTCAGCATGCAGCTCTGGCAAAAGTTCTGAAAGTTCTTGTGACTAAGTCAAAACTTGGGTGATACACATAAATGGGCACTCTAACCTAACCAAGGTTTTATATTTATATGACATTAACATAGGCTTAAATGGTGTCAGAGTTGCCAAGTCTCCAGTTTTTTCATACTCTCACATAATATTATACAAATGCATTGAAATTATATAAGAAATCGTAGATTTTAATTAAATTAAAGATAATAATTAAATGTATATACAATAAAATTGATTAAAGTGATGTAAAAAATTAATAGTATTAATTAAATTACTGCATATAAAAGAAATGCATTGAAATTATATAAAAATTCATAGATTTTAGTTAAATTAAAGATAATAATCAATTGCATATACAATAACATTGATTAAAATGATATACAAAATTAATAGTATTAATTAAATTACTGCATATAATGTAATAAATGCATTGAAATTTTATGATTCATAAGTGTCATTGTAGCAGGTTGACCATTCGCACCTAATAATAAGGTCCTAATAGATAACATTTGGAAAGTGTTAATTTACAATATTTAACTGCATTTAAAGTAACAGAAAATATTTGTTTTATACTTATTTAAAGCTTCTCATAATAAAAAATTATAATTTCGTAAAAGTAACTTATATTTTAGTCCTTCATATACATTTTACAAAAAAAAATATGGCAAGTTTTATACTTATTTAAAATTAGTAGCTTCTCATAACACACATTATTATTTCGTAAAAGTAACTTTATATTTGTAACATTCATATACATATTTTACTAAAATAAATATGGCAACACTGTGACGCGGTGCCTTGAGGAAAATATATCTGGTTCGGTTAGAGTGCCCGTTTATGTGTATTGTCCCAAAATTTTGTTAAATGACTGATATGTAATTAGGTGATGATCAGCCGGCCTCAAACAATTGATGATTTAAAATTGAATTCCCATTACTTAAAAAGTAAATGATTTAATTTCCTATATTTTATATTCATTAATAATATTAATAATGAAACAGTTACAGCAATAATTTTTTTCTCCTTTCTTTTATAACTTTACCGACCTATTTCATTCGTTACAGGAAAAATGTGTTTTTGTGTTAGAGGTGTATACTATCTAAAATCTTGTCCAGCCAGGTCAAATCAGGCTGTGATTATTTTTTTTATTGTAACTTTTAATATTTATTCATGCAGCAGAATATTGGCTTATTGTAAATAATATAATAATAATTTGTCAATAATTATTGTTTTAGCCTCAAATAAAAATAAGGGATGCATCAGTTACTGTAAGACCAGACTGGAGTACTATTGAGGAAATGGACTTCCCCAGACTTGGAAAATTATCTCTACCAGGAATTAAGGATGGTGAGTTAACATAGATATTTATGAAAAAGTACTTTACATTAGAATATTTGTTCTTTTAATATAATTCATGTTAGTTGCTATATATAAAATACCTTCATTAACTATTTATTTGTGGTATCTCAGTTTGTTCTTTACTCCTAATAATAATTACTTAGAAAATATGTAGTAAGAAAATACTCTCTTTTACTTTATCTTTGATACCTCGCTTTTTTAACTGCTGGCAACCTTAATTTGCGACCATTTTTTCTAAGTCAACCTTATATCATCATATCAAAAAAATTAGCTTTGATTTAGTATAAAAAACCATGCATACACGTCATGAGCAGTGTATTTTATTTAAAAAATAAATAAATAAAATTTTTGTTAAAAAATAAATTACCATTAATTGAATTAAAACTATTTGTGGCCACTTTTTGACTTGCAAATTATAAATAAATAAATAAATAGTTTAAAAATAAATAAATATTAACAGTTTTCGAATTCAATAATAATTACATACAATTTACACAAGACAAATAGAATAACTACCTAAATGACAGTTTACAGTGACAGCCTACATTGTATTTTAAAAAAGATTTTTTCAGCTTTTTTTCGAAAACTATTCAGAGAGCTAGAAAAAAAGTCTACATCTAAGCCATTTCCAGATTGACACATTCGTCTTATAGATCTATTTAGACAATAGTTTGTTTGTTGGAATTCTAAGTGAAAAACGTCCTTGGATCTTGTGCATCTTTGAGGAAGCAAAATCTGCAAAAATTGAGGCAAATTTGTCATTCCGTTTACAATCTTGAAAAGAAAAACCAAATCTCCTATTCTTAAATGTATATAAAAATGTGAGTTTGGTTAACTACTATTATGAAAGTAGTAATCTTGCAGTGGGATTTTATACTAATACACTTAATACTGATTTGCTTTTAAAACACTTGTAATAACCCAAAAATTCTGAGATATCACAGAGCAATTTTAAATAAGTATATTCAAGTCGACCGATAGCCAATTCTCAAAAAAATTGACACAACTTCCCCACATTTTATAAGCTCCTCTGTGTAGATACAGATGGAGAGATAGAGATAACAAATACGAGGTATTTGTTGGACACAGAAATTTAGAAGTTCTATAAAATTTCTCTCATTCAGATATCCCATAACTCCTAGATTCAAAAGAATCATTTTGAAATATAGTCCTAAAGCGTGCCATGGATTGCAAAATGTTTGCTTAACTGGCAGGTTGTTAGATATTTTATTTTTTTATTTTTTAGGTGACGATGTTTTGTGCTGTGGTGAACTGGAATATTACGATAAATCTTACGATCGTGTCAATGTTAAAAATGAGAAGGCTTTACAAAGTGTGAACAGGATCTTCCATACTGTAAGTATATTTAGCTCTGCAAGCTTTGGAATTACAGCTTGGTCAATTAGGTATTTCTGTCACGTAACTTTCATCATTTATTTTATGTTTTCAATTTTGTTAGTTTAGAAGACTTTTAAGTTTGTTCCAACCTATGAGTAAGGGTGGTCCTTTATATTTGAAAATATTTTTAAAGTGTGATCCTAGCAATGTTCCAACTTTTACCTAGACCATTTTGTTTTTCGTATTTCTTACAACAAAAATGGGTAATTGGACTTCCTCATACTAATGCTGCACCCTGCATATGCAATACTCAGCACAGAAATTTGTTATTTGGTTCTATAATTTTGTGTTCATTGCAATGGGCATTTGATGTGAAAGGTTAAGATGTTTCGATCTGCCAATACAATCTATAATAATAATCAATAAAATCGATTGAAATGTAAATTATTTACCACTTTTTGTTTTTACTTTAGGTTACTACTACAGACGATCCCGTTATCAGAAAATTGACAAAAACTGAAGGCAATGTATATGCCACAGATGCAATTTTGGCCACCATAATGTGTTGTACTCGTTCCAATTATTCTTGGGATATTGTTATTGAAAAAATAGGTAAGTAATGCTGAGATACTTTTGTAATTTCCAGTGATTTCTTGACAAGTAGACTGAATAGTTGTTTCCTCGTCCATAACAACAGTTGTATCCAAGACACTTCTATTAGTAAAAAAAAAGAGGTTAGTCTTCGTAAATGGCTATATTTATTTAAAAAACTCCCAGCTGTTCTCCGCGTGTAGAGGTTCTCTCACCGGCTCTGGAACTCGCTTCAACCATGTACCTCTAGCCAAATTTAATTTAATACTGAACATCACAGTTATTTTACAACACAATGTACAATCTTTTATAACTAAATGTAATTTAAAGGGTTTTTTACCCTAGTATTTTGGTGGCTCAGGCATTGTGAGCATTTTTTTCGATTTTAAAACCTGATGATGGACTGTGTGGTCCGAAAACGTTTGTTTTATTGATGCAGCCCTTTTAAGGGTTTTTTAAATAAATATACCCATTTACGAAGACTAACCTCTTTTTTGTGATACGTGGTATACAGCCAGCTACAGGAATTTTTCCTTGTGGATTTTACTTCTATTAGTATCTTCTTGATGTTTTGCTCCCCGCAAAATTGACCTTTTTAATTCAATAGTAGGTGGTATCTTAAGTCCTCTAACTTTCACCTCATAAGCTAACTCTTCAGAAAGCAAATGTTCAACATTAAATTTAGATGGAGTCATACAATCAATAAGCTTTACTACAAATACTAGTTATACAACTCAAAAAATAAAACATATAAACAAAAATCACTCCCTTAGTTCAAAAGAAACATCAGCAATTCCCATACACTTTACTATACTTAAAATTCACACAACTATTATCATAAATGTAGAAAGTTTTTCCATAAAAAGCTTAACAACAAACAAATTTAATATCCTCCAATGATCCAACTCTCACATATACTTGAATAACTTGAAATGGTAAAAAAAATGAAATTATTCTTAAAACAATAAAATAATCCAAAAAAATAATACTCAGAAAAGATTGTCGATTGACGAAGTGTGGTCTGTATTGTTCAAAACGCTGACGACACACAAGCCAAAATGGATCTCCCCTAGAACTGAGAACCGTCAATACACGGAATCAAATAGGCGCCTAACAGGCATATGCAACCAATTATACATGGATGTATAGCCGCTTAACACATCCAAGGTGTTAATTCTTTTAGAATGTAACACTGAGTCTACTTAAAACAAATTACTCACTGGTCTAATTTGTATAAATAGTAGCTAAACCAGTGCGTTTGGCAATTGTGCTTATAGTATTCGCATCTCTTTCTTTTTTTGGCGTACATAAATGACTTTCAAAAATTTTATGAATATTGGGAATGTTACAAATTCAGCAATATATCTAAACGCATTTTTTTAGGCGACAAACTATTTTTTGACAAGAGAGACAACACAGAATTTGATTTACTGACTGTAAATGAAACATCCGTTGAGCCTCCTCAAGATGATGGCAACTCCTTAAATTCACCTAGAAATTTGGCTCTGGAAGCTACATTCATTAACCACAATTTCAGCCAACAAGTAAGTAACATTCAAAAATTATATCTGTATTTAATAGAAAACTTCAAATATCATTTTTTTATAGTTTATTTTTGTAAAAATAAACCTTGTAGTGCAGCGAGCTAGCTATACTGCATTTTCTTATTGGATTTAAATTTAATTCTAATTCATGCCTTAGCGTGAAGAAATATCGTTGCTTTTGCATTTGGCATTATGATTTTGTTTAGGAATTATGTATAACAGCATATATCCCTAAAGTTTTCGGAAAATTTTAGATTTAAGAGTATGTATTATTGGTAGGAAGCATTGGATCAAGTTGCCATTGGAAACCAAAGTTAGTAAAAAACTTTAAAAATGTCAGTTTTGACAAATACAGTTTGTTAAAATGTCGTACAAACTTAACATTTGTCAAAGTACTTATCGTTCAGGTGGACATGTAACAAAATGTGATATTGTAAGAATTTTTAGTGCTCAAAATATTTCTGTCTCAACGATTTACCACACAATTTAAGAGTGCGAAGATGGTATACCATTCCTTAATTTAGCCAAAATGTGGAAGACCAAGAGTTTGAACTCCTGCTCGGGAACAGAGATTAATTCAGAGTATGGAGAACCAATTAGGAAAGTCTGCGAAATGTTGGCAGAATATATAATGTTTCACAAATGAATGTAAGTAGAACAATTTCTAGAAATAATTTAAAACGATATAAAAGAAAAATCTCTACTAAGTACACACCAGCCCAGTTAGAAAAAAATCCTAGATGTTGCCGTGCATTGAGACGTATTCATTATCCTGGTAAAATTCTCATTATTGATGATGAAAAATATTTTACTTTATCCAATTCCGAACTGAAGGGCAACGACGGATTTTATACACGCAATGCACAAGATCCACCGGACGTGAAGGTTTAAGGGAAAAGTGAAATTTGCAGATAACATTTTGGTATGGTGTGCCATCTCTGAAGTTGGTGTTTCTCAGCCGTTTATTGGGCGACCTAGCGTCATGCTATTACACCAGGGTGGTTGGGTTTACATAGATTAAACCATACTTGAAAACATTAAATTATATGGCAGTATGCCGATGAAATTGGAATGGATAACCTAAAAAGAAATCTAGCATCATACTAGCACCATTATTATACAACATATAATACAA